CCTTTGTTTTGTTTTAGAATTAAGTCTTGATGCCGAAAATCTCAAAAAACTGAAAAAACGATGTCAGTCGGCCGTCTTGTTTTCAACTTTTCAAGCTGTTCTAGGGCTTTTAAAACAAAGTTTTTTAGCTCAGTTTGTAGAAACTTCAATTTCCTATCTGGTATCACTTTCGCATTTCTATGGAAATTCTGTCTTGATGCCCAAAAGTGGGTTTTGGTAGAAAAAATTTGTATGTGAAAATCATAATCCTTCACTTGATGAACCTCTTACAACATCAGTATTGAGTTTAGAAAAAGAGAAAGCACATGATTTTGTTTAGCTTTTGATGGTCTTCCCAATAAGACATTGCTCGACCAGAACAGATAAAAAATGATGGAGTTATATCGAAAATATGAGACAATGCTCAGTTTTGCGATTCTTCGATGCACCCCATTTTGAAAACTCTGTAACTCGGTCAAAATAAAGTCTGGAAGTGAACAATTTGTTTCGTCATCCCAATTTTGATTGTAGAATCTGAAAATCAAATAAAAATCATATGTTAAATTTTTGCATGTTACGGGTGTTTCGCAAAATACTCGCTTTCCTCGCGAATTGTCTCTTAAGTATATTTAATTTAACTTTACTTTATTGTATTTTCGGCTTAAGATTTTCTTCTCTTTTTCTTTATAGAAAAAGGAAAACTTAAAATTAGATGTTAGCTTAAAATAAAATTTTAAAATTATGGACAAATTTCGAAGGAAAATATTACAAGTCAATTTTTTGCAGCCTAGAAACAATATATATTATATTCAATTCACGAACGTTGTCAATAATATTAATTACCGGTAGGAAATTAATATAACTGACATTGTCGAGTGAACGAATTTTCTTTCTTTCCAGCGCGTATAGTTTTAGAATACGAAAGTTGGAGACGATGTAATTTGAAAAATCGATTTCATCAACAACTATGGCATACAATTAAACAGTTGTGAAATACGCAGAGAAAACTAACCTCAGTAACTACTATTTTAACTTTAAAATACTTTTAAATATCAAATTTTGTTCAGTTTTGTGCGCTCTTTCAAATGAAATGTTATTTGTTTAAAAGTATCGAACGAAAGCTCACGGTTTTATACATAAAATGCTGAAATTGGTCAATTTTCGGGTTTTTTTAGGCTTAGGTCTTGAGAAAACTTGATTTTCTCCAGAGCAAAATGATTTATAAGGTTTTAAAAAGTTTCGTCAGCTTAGTTTCCCATGCCGAATCGAATGATGTAACTTTTAACAATATCTATTTCTCGCGATGGACAGGTATACTTGGTAGGCTCGTGGAGGCTCTCTTAATTCGTCTTTCAGTCGTAAAGTTTACAACTATAAAGCTGTCGACCGCCACTATTTTAGGTGTAAATCTGATCCGTTATTACCAAATTTAAGAATAGCAGAATGTAACAGTGTGCAGTAATATTGCTACATCCGTTAATGACATGGTAACTCAAATTAATGAAGCAATACTAGCAGCTGATGCTGCAATACCAGGTAAAATTATCAAAGTAAATAATTATAACAAGCCACGGTTCACTAAGAGCTATCACGTTTGAGAAAAATAAAGACCGTTGTTTGGTTGTTCGGGCAACACGAGATACTCCGTCGTAGACGTTCGTAGTTGACTTTCGGCAATATTGCCGAAAGTCATACCTTGGGCTAAACATTACTCTCGATGAAAACTAAACTTTCGGCAGCTTGCCGAAGTTCAACTGCGGTTACAGCGAAAGCTTTATTTGCAGCATGACAGTTTTATAGTCGATAAAGATGTTATAGGAGTTGACAACATGATAAACATGGCTAATTAGTGAGTCCTACGACTCTCACAATTGCCGAAAGTCCTGCCTTACATTAAAAATTGCTCTCAACCAAAACTGAACTTTCGGCAAATTGCCGAAATTCCGACTTCGGATACGGCAAAAGTCCGATGAAAACGCAACTTTCGGCTATTGCCAAAAGTCTACTGCGAAAGTGTACGACAGCGACATTCATGGTATCCGGCTGTGCACAAAAATAAAATTTTATCTATTACAAGAGTAAATATTGACTGAGTGCATAAGAATATGCGAATTCATGTAAAGTAACAAAGGCGATAAAAGAAAAATTCTTCTTTTATGACTTGTTGACCCAAAAAGGTACGAATAGTGTTGCGTTAAAGTAGATTACGGTTGCTCTTTAATGTAACTATAGAATAGTTCTGTTTTTTGTCGAGTCTAAAATACCAGATAAAAAAATCGTCAGCTTTTTAGCTAGTTTTTAGACTATACAGTCACCCAATTTTCACGGGAGAATGCATACAACAGGACTTGATTAAGCATCTACGATGTCTCACGAAGACACTATGAGTACATAAAACTGGAATATAGGCGCCTTTGCAAGTCATGGTAACGCCTCTTTTACATGGAAATATCATCCTATTAACCAAAAATGAGGTTGTCTTTGAAGCGCCTAAAGTGTTTAAAAAATGCACCTCTTTTCGCAATGGACTCTTATAGTAAAACTGGTATTTTCACATAGTGGAACCGTAATCGGCGTGCTAAACTGTTCTGTCAGAATTTCTGTATTTTAGTTATGAAAAAACAGTTAGCAAATCTTTTCATTTCTACCATCGGTCTGTTTTCGCCCTAGAAACAATTAAGCGAAAACTCTAAGAAAAACTCTTTCAGACCACTAAGACAGATAATAACTCTGCTAGCGTTCAGCCGAATTATCTGCTTTATTTCCATCTTACTGGAAAATAGAAATAAAAATAGGATTGTGGGTTTAGCGAAGAAGAGCTTTGTCTGATGCTTACAGTCACAGTCAGAAGGAGGTCATGTTTGTATGATTTCCTCGATTCAAAAAGCTTACTTACTTTGCGCCCGTCTTGAATTGTACATCTATCACTAGAACTATACTCTCGTGATTTTCTATAGTTACATTAAAGAGCAACCGTAATCTACTTTGACACAACACTATTCGTATCTTTTTGGGTCAATAAGTCATAAAAGAAGAATTTTTCTTTTATCGCCTTTGTTACTTTACATGAATTCGCATATTCTTATGCACTCAGTCAATATTTACTCTTATAAATTTAGTTTAATAATATTTATTTTCTCGTCTCAGTTTATTACTATATTTTCATATTATTTCTAATTATTAAAAAATAAAATATTTCATTTGATATTTTAGACAAATATTTTTTGATGTCTTGTTCTACTATTAATAACACTAGAAATTTATGTGATACATGTGTATCATGTATTGATATAAAAAAGATAAAATGTAATCGTTGTTCAGATTCCTTTTGTGCTCAACATTTAAATGAACATAATCATGAACGAAATTTAAAACATTTAAAAGAACATGAACAACGAATTAATAATATTTCATGTGAGATAAAAGATTTACAATCAACTTTTCGTGATAATGTACATAATGTTCGAACAAAAATTACAAAATTCTATTACACAAAACATAGAACAATATCCATTGGCTAATATTGATGTTGAACAATTCGCATCAATTATTATCAGATATCATAATAGTTTAGCTAAACTTCAAAATCGTATTAAAAGTTTAGTGAATAATTTATCAAAATTGACAGATGAACAATTTGATATTGAAACAGATGAGAATATAGTACATACAAGTGTATAGTTTGCCACCTGAGAGATTAAACTTAGCAGCTGTTACATTATGAATTTGTGCAGCAAGTTACCTAGAAAGCTTAGCAATAAAACAATTGCTAATTTATTTCAACTGCGAGACATAAAATAAAAAATGGCGGTAGTGAATGCCACTGACAATTTACGGAAAATTTTCGGTCAAAAGAAAATCAAAAGAAAAAGTTGATTTCTTTTGATCGAAAAAATCGACCGAAAACGAGACTGGTCCCACTAATCTCTAGTCGGCATCACCGCCCCCCCCCCCCGCCCATTGTGACTATGTCCGATTTCTTCGCTTCAAAATACAGTAAATGGCTTCTACTAAGAAAGATAGAGATAATCATGTATGAAAACCCAAAACAATATTCTAGGAGAGAGCACAGTTAATACGAAGTACGAGTAAAGTCGAAATGGCTTCTGCTAGTAAACATTTCTAAGAAAAAAGAAGAGACATATACTTATGGAAGGTGGTTTTATTAGTTTATTAATAATTTGACTGCCAACAACAACTGACCTTGGCGTTATCGCAATCAAAAGAAAGAAAAGAAGAAAAAAAGTCAATGTGACCGTTTTTTATTTTATTATTTGTCTAGAAGCAATATGTTTTAAAAAGCTGAAAGACAGTGGACTTCGGATATAATGCACCCAACCACTAGCCGAAGCCATGCAGTGTTTTACATTTCGTTGTATCCGACTTTTTAACTTTAATATCGTTTGCATTCATAAAAGTAGGCTTAACTCAAGCGATATTGTAGGTATACAATAATATTCGATGGCTATCGAATACTGAAAATCCGTCCTATATATGAATTAACTCAGCTGCGTAAGGGAGTAATATTTTCGATAAATGGGGTCCGAACAAAATTATAGAGTGATTTGTTTTTGATGCTTGGAGTTCTGTTATTAGGCATGCACCAATACCAATCATTATTGAAGATATTGTACAATATTGTTGGCTATCGAATAATATTGGGTCTCAATATTATTGCACACTCAGTATATTGGGACCAATAATACTGGTCACTCAATAATGTTGTACAATAATATTGGGTAATTTTGGGTACAATACACTGGATTCCAACTTGTTAACCTTAATATTATTTACCTTCATAAAAACATGAGAAAGCATATCCCGATCGGAATTAGGCATGCATCGATTAATAATCGATGTTAGCGAAGTCGTTTCGAATTGGTTATAAAAAAGCACTTAGAGCTGCCGAATGTCTCATTTTGTAGAAAAATGTTTGCTGTACCAAACTGGAGTGTAAAAGGACATTTTAGTGTTATTTGCGACAGAAATATAAGTAAATAAGTATAAAATAATTTTCCTACAAAAAAATATTGGGTGACCAATATTATTGGAACCCAATATATTGCATTGGTGCATGCCTATTTATTATCTATTCATGCACTACACATATATACGTTTAGTGGGCGAAATAGGAACAAAATTGATAAAATCAATCCCTTAACGTGTGTGTGTATGTGTGTGAGTAATACGGCAAGTTAGGAGTCAAAGAGGGCCCATAACGCACTAAAACCATAATCGATCGGAGGCCCTGGTATGGTGCTAGGCTGCACATTATCCCGTTGTTCAAAACTGTCTAATCCTGTGCTGTCGTTAATATAAATAAATAGGAGATTTATGCGGATTAACCCCCCGATCAAATTGATATTCATGTTTCGCACCAGGTTGAGGTATTATTGTTGTTGAGTTTATAGTTAACTATGAGCGCGCTTTCGAAGGATATCTGTAAAACAATGTCGAATACAAAGAATTGTTTAATTGCATAAATAACGATTAGAATGCTGAACCGTTTCAAAGCTACTTTTTCAAGTTTATATAAGTGATTTTTCTTCTATCGTCATTGCTACTCACCTTCAAGGTGTGAAAACACTCGAAGTATATGTCGAGTATAATCTACTGTTTACTCGTGTCATGCTATATCATGTAAATATGATAATAAATATTGACTCATCAATGATGGTTTAATTCCACAGTGTTCGATATACTTGCGGTGAAGCATTTTCCCATATATTACGAGTGAACAGAAGTGTCTCTCGTTTGGAGGAGAACTCACTTTGTAAAGAAAAGTCGTGTAGAGTTGGGAGATGTCTCGTTTTAATCAGAAATGTGCGCGCTACAATCATGCGTTATTAACCCTTTACCCATGGACGTCCACATCCCTGACCATTGATAACATCGATATACAAAAATAACGAAGCGTCATATCAGAACCAGATTTTGTTCCAATCTTAGAGACTTCATAAGCGCTCGACTGGTGTCTGGCCTTATTTTTTCGATTTGAGCAAGATTTCTACCTTAAAACGGTTTTACGGTACACAACCGTAAAATATCAAAGTGATCTTTTGATATTAGTGCATAGGGGTTTAGTATGCTACAAGCACGTTAAGCTTCGGTTTTTCTCTCATTTAGTTACAAGGTCAACACGTCTCTTTTTTATAAGAATACAAGAATGTAGTCCAAATTAAATGTTCAAATTTATTCAAATCTAAAATTTAACTGGGCAAAATTTGAATTTTATCGTAAAACATCGATTTTCGATAAAAATGTTTCTGTTGTTAGAATTCAGATTTTCGCATGTTCCGAAGGCATAGGGAACCGTGAGAGAGGCAGATGTCGGTAGGAATTACTAGCCTCAAGTTGTTGATAGATAATCTGCTTTAGGTAAGAATGAGAGTCGTCTGATGATATTTCATGCCAGTAGAGTAACTGATATGATTTGCTATAGGGAAGGAACTGAAACGTGAAGCTCTTTTAAAATAATCAAAGTTGCCTTTGTAGTGCATTAGGACTTTACTATAATATAAATAAATTGTTGAAGAACAAACGAAGTTCATTTGAAAACTGGAAAACCTTTGAAATCTTCAGATTGATATTTCGTCAAAATAAACACACTTTCCATTCTCTCTTTTTTACACAAAAGTTTCTAGCTCTTCTACTATCGTTGAATTTGTATTCAGTATTCCCTTAGATAGATAAATTTTAAAGCTTTTCGTTTGCCACAAACCGGAGGACTAGCTGCATCCCTCGTGTATTCTTTCGTATTTGTGGCAGTTAACGGCTCCCGTCGTGTATCTCGTCAAGCATTTCTGTCAGTAAAGAAATTAATTTTTTCATTTTTTATTCATATCTTTTTTTACATCATCAAATAAACCAGTACCATTCAGAGAATGAAACTTGGATAGAGTATTCAGTGCTAGTGTTAGAACAAATATTGGATCAGCAAAACGTTCAGCTGTTACATATTCACTATTGGGTAGATTACTGAGAAGACCACTTAAGCGGTCTAAAAACTGTCCTGGCCCTGGATTTTGATCTCCTGGCATAATATGTGCTACATGTGCTGCTACTAATTTCACTTTGTGATTATGTGCTTTGATATTTGTATAAATATTAGTGCAGCGTACACTTCTATTGTTTCAGTACACGTACAATAAGATATTCTCTCAATCGAACAGAATATAACGGCTTCCTCACCATAGAGTTTGTACTGAAGATTGCTGTACCAAAAAAGAGCTAGAAGTACACAAAAACTGAGGTATATATTAGCCCTCTGTCTGTAACAGACGATGAACTAAATGTTCTTTTCGTTAATCCCTTTTCACAGAAAAAGGGATTGAAAAAAAGTTACATAATTTATAAAAGAAGTCCTAAATGTTCATTGTCAGCTCAGAGATATAGAAAGAAAAAGCAAAATTAATTTAGGGCTTTTCGTGTAGATTCTGTAACTTTGCAAAGAAAGGTGGTGGAGAGCTGGGAAGCGTCTCATTTTTATGCAAAATTTTCAAGCTACAATTCCAAAATGTTGATAAAACATTGCTAGGGTTTCAGTGGATTTGTAGAAAACCGGTTCTCCAGAGAAACGCTAGGAAAGGACTATCGGCACAAACGGCTATCATATTTGTAATCAGTACCCTTGATTACACATAAATTGCCAGGTTTGAACAAATCGGAGTGTCTCAATTGGGAATGTTTCCTCGTTACAGGATTTTAAAAAATAATCAAACAAACCAAAAAAAAGAGCATAGTTTGAAACCCACCAATACTAGATGGCAGTTAACATCTTGGACTTCCCTCCAGACTAGAGATGGGCATCGGGATCAAAAAAATTTTCTGGTTCCGGTAAAAGATTTGATTGCCGTTCCATCACCTTCACGGTTAAAATATCATTTGCCGTGCATTTTGTAGAGAAATGTTTGCTCTTTCAGATTATATATTCTAAAATATTTTGCGAGTCTCTTTTATCAATCAATTTAGCAAATACATGACCGGGACCAAGATCACAGGGACCGACCGGGACCAGATTGGTCCCGGTCATTGTATTTGTCAAATTAATTCGTAACGAAGGTCTGTGGTATATTTTAGAATATATAATCTGAAAGAGCAAACATTTCTCTACAAAATGCACGGCAAATGATATTTTAACCGTGAAGGTGATGGAACGGCAATCAAATCTTTTACCGGGACCAGAAAATTTTTTTGGTCCCGGTGCCCATCTCTACTCCAGACAAAATGTTCAAATGTTGTTTTTTTTACTAAATCTTTATCTTGGTCATTTATAAGGCCTATTCCTTGCAGTAAGTCTCAATTTTGGTGCAACATATAACCAAACTCTGTGAGAACAAAGTTGATGTTTGATGCAATTCAACATTCACGCTTGCACTTTAGAGGTTGTGTATCCTTAGATATTAATGATAATATCAGTTCGTTGTTAAACCCAATCTAACATTCTGTGAATGAGATGCTTTGACCACGCCGCTATCCTCTCTGCATCAGACAGGACCGACCTGATGCTCACTATTTGGTAAAATCTTCAAACATTACTGCGATTTTATGAGTGCGATATGTATTCCGAGTTTTTCCACACTCTGAGATGACATTTTATATGAGTGAAAAAAAGCTTTTTCACACCTTCAAAAAAATTGAACTCCCGAATATTGCAGACGGTGATGGTGGTGGCGACGTCT